CGTAAGTTTACGGTACCAGTACATCACGACTCTTTATATCAGAAAGGGAACTTGTAGTGACTAGCATGGTATACCTGAAACACTGCAACAGCTGCATGTGTACAGAACAGTATGAAGTTTAAAATTACAGATACATGGACTATGTGCACTTGCAGTGAAATGTCTTTAATGTGGAAATATGCAAAAGTACCAGAGGCGAAAAACTGTTTACAAATACGAAGTGACTATATGACCGGCAGCCGGTCACGGTTTATCAAATACTAAATGGCCGGCAGTCTAGTGACTATTGTTAAAGTTAAATTTTTATAAGATAAACCTATCCCCAACCCCAAACCCTTTTCTAACCTTAACCCCTAACCCTTTGAGAGTTAGAAAAGTCGGGAAAAAAAGTTTAAAAAATTTTAAAAAAAAACAATGCTAAGTTAGACAAAACACATCCCAACCCCGACTGCGTTTAACCTTCCGCACGCAGCGCCCTTGCCGTATGAGCTAATGGCAAGTTCGGTAAAAGTTAACACAAACAAAAGTTTTTATATTCAACTTAGTCACTAGACTGCCGGCCATTTAGTATTTGATTTGATAAACCGTGACCGGCTGCCGGTCATATAGTCACTTTGTTACAAATACTCAAATGACAAATTCTTCCTTGAAAATTCAAACAGAGTGCTTTACAATTTTGCATGTACATATATTAAAGGGGAAGTCAAGTCCGTAATGTAAACAAACGGTTTGTTTACATTTTGAACTGCTGTATTTTTAAAAAATGATGTACTGTCTGAATATCTAACACCATTTTGGTTTGCTATGCTTCTAAATGAATATGAAATAAAGTTTATGTTCAGAAAAATTCGAAAAAATTCGAAATTTGGGCAATTTTCACATTAGAGGTCCTCACATTGTTATGCGCAGAACCGATGCGCAGAATGGACTTGACTTCCCCTTTAATGAGTTGTGAACAGGCAGGCCATCATTCAAAGAACGAAAGCAGTCACTTTCAATCAGTTTTATATTAATATTATAGATGACGGGTTTGAATGCTCAGTGCTCACTCCTGAGTCAGATACATGTGCACATTTTATATAATAATAATTCAAATAACAGTTATTAAATACGACATTACACTTACCATGTCATCTGTCTTTATATTTGGCAATGTTTTGGCTCGTAACATAGACAAAAATTCAGTAAAATTCTGTTATTTGTCTTCGCAAATTTTGGGAAACTTTTAAAACCAAGATGGCGGCGCATTATTTTTTCGCGAAGGCCTGGCCGCTAAGCTTTGATCGCTTTTCGGTAAAAATACGCGACTTTTTAAAAAATCTCCTCTTAAACATTAAGTTAACCCTATTCCGAATACGTTTTTAAACTATTCAAATGATGAAAGTTATTGTTGTTTTTAAGCGTTTATTAGCAAGTGGGAACGACCAACATGGCCGCCATCTATTCAAATGAGGGTAACCGCTGGAATATTCTTGGCTTCAATTTTGCTAAAAGAGATGCGCTATCTAGTGCATATAAGATATCTATGGTTTAGGTGCAGTTTTGAGCCAATTAGTCGAGACTCATCTATGTTATTGTTTTTTTTATGAGGGTAACATTATGCTTAAGATATAAGTTTTCGAATAATTTGTTATACTGTTCTATTTTATTAGAATGGACTCTACCATCATACCTCATAATGACATTAGAGACAGCAATCTTCTTTGTGTGGGTTTTCACCTCATTGATAAGATCATCCATATCTTTTTCCACTATGTTAGCATCACCATGGGCCAAGTCATTTGTGGCAACATGAAGGATGACACAATCATATTGTCCATCACCATCATTCTTTATCTTCTCTTCTATCTGTTTCACTCTGACTCCACTGTATGAGTGACAGACCGACCTGTGTCCAGTAGCCCTTTCAATCTTCTTGCTATTAATGTTTTTTACCATTGAGTCACCAATGACAAGGGTTACTTTTTCATTTGTCTTTGCTGGATCTTGGGGTTTTGTTGCAGCATTTCCAGGGCTGATTTTCGAATGATTAGCCTTATGGTTCGAAGCATAGTGTATGTATAGCCTTATGGTATGAAGTATGTGCATTGAATATTTTTTATAATTGATCATGCTTTTGTTATTGCATGTGTCGAAACATTATAAACAATGTCCTCAACTCTACAGGGTGCATCAAAAAACCTGGAAACCTTTGAAGCACAGGTGTCCCCCCCAAAAAATACCCTCTATAGAAATTATCATATTGTTATAATTTGAATGCCTGAGCACTATGTTAAACACAAGAGCGCGTAAACACAATTGAATTGAATTTTTAATTACCAGGAGCATGAAAAATCCTGGGCTTAACAACAATAGGATAATTTCTATAGATGGTACTTTTTTGAGGGACACCCTGTACAATGTTTTTAGAATTTGCATGATTCAGAACTAATTGATCCCAAGCATGCGTAAACACAATAGTTGACCATTCGCAGTCGAACTGATAATTAGTTTTTTGCGTTACAAATAACTTTTTTTTATTCTAATTTCTATCAACGCGGTTAGTTAGAATGTAATTTCAAATCCCATGAGCAAAATAAGTAAATGCTGGTAAGCAGCAGAATTATGCAAATTATAGTGTTTGCTGTTTTTTTGATACACCCTGTAGTTTTCGAAGTAACGTGGCTTTAATTTGACGTCCTTGGTGCACGTTTTGCTCCATGACCATGTTGTTCGATATTCAGTTCTTAAACGATCGACTTCACTTCAGTAAAATCAAAAGAAAGGCAATTTGGCGAAGAAGTATATTCAAGCGAAGTAAAATATCAGCTAAGCACTTTACTTTACTCTTTCTTTAGCCTGCATGCATGGTTCACATATATGCCTGCGGTATACCTGCGCTATCATTGTTCACAGCTTTTCAGAGCAGTTGTTGTCAATAGCCCGCCGACATACCGCAGGTGTAAGTAGGTATATGTGAACCGGGCTTTTATGTTTACTAGCCATTTAGGAGTCCGTGCTTTATCAGATAAAACATTCGAGCTGCGCTCACGTGTTTTATATCTGATAAAGCACTCCTGCTCGCGTTTTAAATAGTACATACCGCATGCACAGTCCGCACTCACTGTACAGTTCTGGTCTTGTGATAGTTTGAGGTATATGTGTGGTCTTTAATAGTGATACAGTGTATCGTTGTTGTGTAATTAAAAGCATTGAATAAGCTGTGTGCTCTTAAAATAATTATTGGCTGATATTGTGGTCTATAGTGAAAAGGTTCCAAAAATGGGTGCAAGTTTCCATAGTATTGTCGTTCTGATGTCACAGATATTAGAGTAACGGTAGGATAGAAAGATTAAAAAAAGTTTATGGTTAGATTCTCATGTTTTGCGCACAATAAAGCTAGGGTTAGGGATGGGTTGTGATTACGGTCAAGATCAAAGATATATATTTGTGACCGAAACAAGGATTTATTCATATTCACAATAATGACGTCACAACGATTAAGAGGCTGTGTCTGTAAAATCCGGTCACTCGATTTTCGGTTTAAAATTGAGATACTCTTACTATTTTGTTTAGGAACAGTACTTGGAATGGTTATGTCCGAAACGGATTTAGTTTGTTTAAATTTTTTAAATCCTTTGATTTTTACGCGATTTTTCGCCAGTGAACCGTAAAACGTGAAATTCGCCGTCGTGAGACTCTATTTATAGATCATGTTTGAGGCCTCCTACAGAGAAAAAAAATCACTATTTTCTAGAAATATTCAGTCGATGTTTACAACCATCTGTGATGTTTTAAAAAAAGAAAAATTTGTCGTGACTGTTTTTCTCAAAGTGAGCGACAGGCCTCATTACAAAGGGGTACTCTCGGACCTGCCGTAAAATTTTCCGTTACCAGTGGCGGCGCAAGGGGGGGCAAATGCCCCCCCCCAATTATTTTTTGCCCCTCCCCCATTTTGCCTCCCCCCTCAAAAAAAATTATTAGTCACTAAGAGCGACAAAAGGCTACACAAGCGTTCTGTCGTTATCGGAAAATGTATGGCTTATAAGTTGTCATTACTCATTAGTGAATGCGCGTATACATGAAACTGTTTTTTACAGTTTCAATATTAGTTTGTAAATCTCTGAATGGTAAAACTTGCCAATACTCCAATAATACGTTTCAAAAAAAGACAGAAAAGCTTTAGTTTTGCAGAGTTAAATTCTCAAACGTGTAAGGCAATAATAAGATGAAAGTATCACGAAATTATTTGAATAAACCACATCGCATATATGGGGGGCGAATGTCCTAAAGAGGGACGACATTCCTAGGGTATTCGTCCCACCCCCTGGGAGGCGATATTCCTAGGATATTCGCCCCCCGGGGGCAATATTCCTAGGAATATCGCCACGTTTTGAGGGGGGGGGGGGCGAATTTCCTGTGGGGGGCGACCTTTTTAAAAATTCTATCTTGCCCCCCCCCCAAAATTTGAGTTTGCCCCTCAAATGCCCCCCCCCAAATTTGGAAGCCTGGCGCCGCCACTGTCCGTTACTGGGACAAAACTGAAAAATATAGTAACGATAACTTAAAACAGTAAGGTTTGAATAGCCTATAACTGAAAGGATATCTGCGGCTAGTGTTTTGTAAAGAATAAAATTTCATGCGAAACTTTACAATTTTCACTTACCGCCACCTTTAGAACAGAACGTCACCAGCCAACGGTCAAAGCTCTGGAAACGCGTGTAATAACTGTAATTGTTACTAAAGATCAACAGAAATTCACCAGTTCAGCTTGGGCAACTAAAATGGGACAGCTACACTTTCATGCAAGCAAATATGCTTCAAACTCCCCAGACAGATACGATCTTAGTAGAGACAGCCTCACCGGACACTGGCATTGTTTACATCATATATGGCATTTTACTTCCGTCTGCTTTTACGGGAAAATAACACAGGTTCCAGCCTCATGTAAAGCCGACTTTCATCGCTCCCAAGTTTTGTCTGCCCCCTGCAGCAGTTGGAATATTTTCAAGAAATATACGGTAGCCTGATACAAAACGCAACTGGAAGTTGTTGTTGTTGCTGTTCTATAAATGGCGGCTTTTTCTCCTGCGCACGTATTTATAAACTGTAGTTTTCATGGGAGAGATTGTAATGAGTGCATGTGGCTTTTCTAGTTTAAGTGGAAGAAGTGATTACGTTGCTCTTGTAGATTGCAGTGATGATATGACAAATCATTTAGCGGGGTGTCACTTATCTAAGAGTGTTCTCAAGGAGCACGAAGTTATACTTCTACGTGACGGTATTTTCAAGTGGACAGAGGGACAAGTAAAGGAAATAGTGATATGCCCTAAATACAGAGATCGTTACGGGAAATATTGGCGTTCAGCAACGACGTGTCAATATCCAGTTCATAAGGGAAAATCTCAGGCAATAAAAGAAGGTCGTAACATGCATGTCATCAACTTGGAGATGGCCATACAAACAATGGATATGTATGGAGTTACTGTTTTAATTGGATCTCGTGAGTTCTAGTAATAACTTATTTTTTTTACATTCGTCGTCAACCGTGTTTTCCGCTGATACCATCTTTTATTCGTCACGTATTTTAGCAATTTGCTCCAGCTGTCGAGGTTTGCACTCCAGTAAGCTCAAATGTGAGGCAAAATGGATCGCACATGTATGTGAAATTCAACATCAAACTTCAGAGACGAATGATGCGGTAGCAGTTGAAGAGGGGTAGTACCATTTACTATATACTTATCGTAGTTTCGCATTGAAACTTGCAAGTGGCGCGAGTTGCAGGTAATTTGGCGCGGTTCATTTCTCCGTGTATTTCAGGGCGTAGGAAACAAACTGAAATTAGAGAGCCACAGTATCATTAGGACAATTTTTTAATTGAAAAAATGGCACATTTTTTGTATGGTTTTCCCATGAAAAAGGGGCACTTTGCGTTGTAAGTATGGCACTGTTAGAAAAGTTGGAGTTTGGTGAGGGACGTGGTACGTTGCCTCAAATTCCCTCCCCGTTCCTACGCCCCTGGTTTAATTCCCGCGATAAAAATAGCAGCATGTTGCCTTCCTAAGTACGACACCAAACATTGTTGTTTTACGGCTATAGGTTAGACTTGCCACAAGTACGCCAGAATTTTCCCTAGCTTTATTGGGCGAGTAAGGGTGAGATGGGTGCGAGGAGGCGGACGTACTTGTTTCGCCTGCATAGTTTTCAATCAAATTAGGGGCGGACCATTTGACTTTTAAGGGGGGGGTGGAAGATTTCGAAAAAAAATTTCCTGCAACCCAAGGAGAAAGAAAAAAAAATCATGCAGCACACAATCGAGAAAAAAAATATCATGCAAAAGAGAGCGCTCAAAAAAAAATTTTCTACATGTAACTCTACTGATGCCTTCACTTCAGTATTGTGTCCACAGGCTTGCAAGATTTTGCATTTTTGAGCAGGCACATTTGCTTAAAAGAACACGGGGTGAACAGTGGATAACATCACAGGATTCTACCGCCTTTGGAGCCTCTGACATACGATAGCCAGTGGTGTTCCCTGGCAAAATTGTTG